CTGCTGCATCTGAATCACGGATGCCGAAATCAGCACGCGTTTGGCGACTGTTGGTCAATTGTTCTGGTCTCATAGTCTCCCGACAGTTAGTTTTTTTATTGCCTACTTATACCTTATACATGTAATCCATCGTATGTAAACATATGCACTGTACGTAAGTCAGAGTATACACCTTAAAATAATAATCGGATACGTTTCAGTTGATAAAAGCGCAGTGAAAATCGTGCATTCGGAGCTTTCCACCCCACGGCATAGCTTGTTCCTCGTACTCAGCACGGTGTGTGCGTGTAGTGTAACTGACTAGAGCAGAGGGCATTAGACTCTGTGGTTCCTTCCTACGTTAGCCGTATTAGCATCGTCCCACCTTTGGGATCCGAACCGCCCTCATCGAAGCCTGATACGGGTAGCGGGAGCCAGGAGGTATGTGGAACGCCTAAATGGCCTGCTTAGGTTTGTCAGTCACTGCGCTAGAGTCCATTTTCGGCCGTCTTGATATTTTGTTTTCATTGAACAAGTTAGGTAGGAAAGGGGAAGTCAGAGAGCACGATAGATGCCACGCAAATCTGCCTCACTAAAAAAAAACGATTTCATGCGCAAGGCAGTAGTGCTGCACCCACTGCGTGGGGCACGCGTTAGATGTAGTCGCTCACAACGGTCGAACTGTCATGTGTTCAAAATGACCAACCAGTCAATGACGCCTAATAAGACAGTCATTTTAACTGCTTTGTTGTTAGTTTGGTAAATACTACTTTAGTTCAGTCCCTTATTGTATCCGTAACCGCCCCCACCCCTTACACAGAGCTGCTGACTTTAACACCACTGACCTAGCATTGCTGATGCAAGACTGATTCTGTGCGTCGTTAAGCACTTCCGGATCAGAGAGTCGTAAATAAGACGATATTTTTCTGGCAAAGATTTTAGGCAGGATTGATTTTAGAGACCCCAAAAATTCCGTCAACTTATAATAGAAACTACTTTTAAGTGTTCGGTTGCATGACATTGCATTTTTTCGTTAAATTCCACCAATAGGAGGACGAATTTCCATTTTCGCTAAATTCCGCCTACATAAGGTCGATCAGCATTGGTAACCTGCGCAACAGAAGTTTATGTTGATCGAATTTTATTCTATTTTAGCATATT